CTGGCGATTGACTCGGAGGACGCGAAGCGCCACATTCAGAAGCTTCTACTGAATGCAGTTTCTGTGGCTCTGCAAAGTTAGCAGACCTGGCAAAGTCATGTCGGGACGACTACCAAGGTAAAATAAAATACATGCACTGCACTGTTTTAATCTGCACAATACTGGTCTTAGATGTACTTTTATTTGCTCAGTAGATCGAGCTAGCCATGGTAGAACTTGCTAACGTTAGGTCTAAGCTGGCTAATAACATCTAGCTAGCTAGCTATTCTCATCCATGCCCGCTATGAACACGTTTTGACTTGTGAATAAGTGTGCAATGTTCTGTAATTTGCTTCACTAACTCATGGCACTAATCGTGTGTTTCAGGCGAGGTGTTTCTCTCAGGATTAGAAACTAGTTTTCCCCTCCGGGATAAAACGATAATATAACGTTAGCAATTAGCATGCTAGCTGGACCTCTGTGGCTACACTGAGGTAAACAATAGATTGTAGTTGCTCTAATTTGCAACATTCATTCTACATGTTAATGGTAAAAGCTTAAACAGTTGATTACCTGCATGCCACAAAGACTGATGTTCTAATATTTTTGCACATTTAAGTAGAAATGTAATTGAAATTCTATTTACTGCCTAAACATTGTTCCTTGTATTATCCTAAATAGTTTGACCTTGTTTCCTCAGAAGGCTTCTCAGACCACATGGAGGATCCCTCAGAGAAACACAGTTTCCACGTTCAGTTCCCCCCCGCTGAGAGTAGGCAGCTCCACACCCTGTGCCCGGTCCATCCTGACCGCTGCTGCCATACTGCAGCAAACAGGAGGGAACGGAGGTGAAAACACACTTTATACATTTAGATATGTGGAGCACAAAGAAAAGCATTGCTAAAAAACATTTAGCAGCTAAACTGTGGATAACAAGTAAACCACATTGGTTTGTTATTCAATATTCAAAAGCTTTTTGAATCATTACATGTCACTTGTTAGACGCTTTTATCCAAAGCTTACCTACTCAATACTGTGGGCAATCCCCACAGGAGCACTTTGGGGTGAAGTGTCTCAGGGACACAACGACATGCTGACTGCAGTGGGGTTTGAACCTGTGCTCCCCTGATCCGAACACCAATGCACTTACCCACTGCGCCACACACCTCCGTCCTTTACTCAAGTAGAAGTACAGATACTCGTGTTTGAAATACTCTGGTAAAACTTCTTAAGTAAAAGTAAAGAGGCTTTGAAATGTACTTAAGTAAAAAGTACCCATAACTAGCAGCTGTTTTAAAGAGTACCTGACCTCCCTTTATATTAATAGAACAATAATGTCATTGTTAGCTAATTAATGTTTCCATGCTGAACAACGGCAACATGACAACGTTTTCATTGGTCCCTCTTCTTTAGAGAAGACCAGGAAATGATGGATACACGGATCGTGTTCAAATCAATAGGCACGCAATGACTCTAAATAATAATGATCACGCCACCAAACACACATTCAAACTAAAGTAACCAGCCTGTTTGGAAAATGTAAGAAGTAGAAAGTACAGGTATTTGGGTTCAACATGTAAGAAGTAGAAAGTACAGGTATTAGTGTTCAACATGTAAGAAGTAGAAAGTACAGGTATTTGTGTTCAACATGTAAGAAGTAGAAAGTACAGGTATTTGGGTTCAACATGTAAGAAGTAGAAAGTACAGGTATTAGTGTTCAACATGTAAGAAGTAGAAAGTACAGGTATTTGTGTTCAAAATGTAAGAAGTAGAAAGTACAGGTATTTGTGTTCAACATGTAAGAAGTAGAAAGTACAGGTATTTGTGTTCAAAATGTAAGAAGTAGAAAGTACAGGTATTTGTGTTCAACATGTAAGAAGTAGAAAGTACAGGTATTTGTGTTCAACATGTAAGAAGTAGAAAGTACAGGTATTTGTGTTCAACATGTAAGAAGTAGAAAGTACAGGTATTTGTGTTCAAAATGTAAGAAGTAGAAGTAAAAAGTGATCAGAAAAATAAGTAGTGGAATGTACTTAAGTACAGTAACGAGGTATTTGTACTCCGCTACTTCCTACCTCTGACCAACGTGTATCTCTATATTCAGAGCACCCAGTATAAGACGGTGGAGCGGGTGGTGCAGACTCTGAAGAACCTGTGCTGTGCTCTGGACGAGACGGAGACCCAGGCCATCACTGAGGCCGTCAAAAGGCTGAAACACTCCGTCAACTTACCCCAGACACGCTCCCCCAAGGTGGGCTAACACTCTGCTTCACACGTTCATACAGAGCGTTGTTTACATGTTAGGAAGTGTTTGTAAGATCAACTTGTTTTGCTTTGCAGATGGGGTCCACATCGTCTGGTCAATCGTCAAATGGTACGTACACACAGTCACACTCCACCTCCACTTATTTAATTTAAATGTGATTGTTGCAGCTTATCATGTCAATGTGGTGCAAAGATGCATTACAGACAGAAATAACTTTTAAATAAAGTCACTGTCAAGTGTCTAAGGCTATTTAAAGACTATGTGGCTTATTCTATTACGGTATGAATCATTCAAAGCTTCATAGCATCATTAATGCTTGCATTAAAATTGTAAAACGTTTAATTTGTATCTATTTGTCCCTATCATGTCCTGAGAGCCCTCCATCCCCCAATTGCTAGTGCCTTCACCATTTAAAATGTTAATAGTCAAATCAAAGGTGTTCCCTGTGTTCCTCCTGTTGTGTGCCTGCAGAGACAGATTTGGACAATGTTGTGTCGTTGTTGCGATTAAACTGATCTTGTATCTTGCATATTTCACCTTAGGAAAGTGGGCACGCGATGACAGCTTCCTTGACACCATCATGGCGATGGCCCGCCGTGCCATGGTCAGCAAGGAGAATGAGGACCTGCGTGCCAAGGAGATGCACGACGAACGGCTGCTGCATTCACACAAGGCCCAGGAATCGAGGTGGAGCAACAAAATACCTTTCAGGCTGGGCTTCTGGCAGTGCTAAGCGAGCTGATTAAATCCAACAGGCCTTCAATACAAAAATTAAGAAAAACTTGTCGTTGATAAACTGTACAATGACTTGTTGGGAGGCGTGTGATGCAGTGGTCTGGTGCGTTGGTGTTCGGATCAGGGGAGCACAGGTTCAAACCCCACTGCAGTCAGGATGTCGTTGTGTCCCTGGGCAAGACACTTCACCCCAAATTGCCTACACCTGGGACAGTTAATTTTGTATTATTGTGATTATATATATATTGCCACTGTTATTATATTGTTTTGATACTACTGACACTTATTGATCTGCTTCTGATAAATAAAAGAGAACCTACATGCACGGCACTAGCATCATGACTGTCTTTGTTTAAACCACAGCAGTGCAGCGGTACACAGACTAACCTGTGTGTGTGTGTGTGTGTAACGTAGTTCTTCAGATGTGTATGCTTAACATGTATGTATTTATCACAGTAAAGATGGTATACAAAAGCTTTTTAAAGAGCTTTCAACCTCATCCCATTGTCTTTAACACACATTTAACATAATAATATACTCATATTAATATACAAATATACAGTATGAGTACTGTTTTGATACTGACATTTAATCTTTGCACAAAGGTGTGTCTGCACTATTGTAATTGTGTCTGTTGACTGTGGTAAATAAAAGAGAGAACCAAATGCACAGTACAAAAGATCAGCTTTATTGTCAATTTACAATTTCCATGCTGTTCAGATGCCTCAAGGGCTGTGCGCGTGTCTTGCCCCGTGGCGATTTGTTTAGGTTGCGTCTCCCCAATGGTTGCTTCCAGGCGAATACAGAGGAGTTGAAAAGATCCACTTTGATCCACTGCACATTGGTGTGCACCAGGCCGAGGTTCTATTGTTCACCCAGAGAGAGCGCGGGACACGGCGCGTTCCGTAGTATTCGCATATCTGGAATACATACAAAGACACAAATTAGCCCTACATAACTCCATAAATCCTACATTAGATAGTATTAATGTGATTTAATGAACGTACCATTGCTGTTCTTTGGGCGTGATAACGGTCATCATCCTCAGCTATCGAAACATGTCCATAGCGTGTGCTTTTCGTGGTCCAATCCTTTTGTTAAGGCTTCTTAACCGCCTTCGCCTCCGACTCAGCATTTCTATTGCATTTGAATGGTCGATCTGTATTTTTATTTGTGGCTGAGTTATTGGCTTAAATAACTCCGTTACGAAGCTGTATAACACGAGCACCAAAACGTCAACTCCATACCGTGTCTGAGGTCGGAAGGTAAACAGAAGCATACAGCGGAAGCGGAAGCTTTTCTTCTTCTTCTCTCGGTTTTTTGGCGGATTGCAACTTTAAGGTGCATACCGCCACCTACTGTACTCGCCGTGAAGTTGTTTGCGGCCTGCCAGGAAAATCTAAGCAGAAGAAGAAGAAGTGACGTCAGCGGCTCATTTGCCTAATCCACCCCCAGGAACTCATTTTGGTGTGAACGCGATCTGCTTTAGTTCATCAGAACTAAAAGAACTCTCATGAACTAAAGTTCTCAGGAACTACTGTGGGAAAAGTACTTGGTGTGAACGCGGCTATAGCTGCAGTTTAAAGAGTCCCTCTGTGTCTCCTCCACAGGAACATGGCTGCAGTTTAAAGAGTCCCTCTGTGTATCCTCCAAAGAAACATAGCTGCAGTTTAAAGAGTCCCTCTGTGTCTCCTCCACAGGAACATAGCTGCAGTTTAAAGAGTCCCTCTGTGTCTCCTCCACAGGAACATAGCTGCAGTTTAAAGAGTCCCTCTGTGTCTCCTCCACAGGAACATAGCTGCAGTTTAAAGAGTCCCTCTGTGTCTCCTCCACAGGAACATAGCTGCAGTTTAAAGAGTCCCTCTGTGTCTCCTCCACAGGAACATTTGTAGTGAATGTGACTCAGGCTTCCTATCAGGCAGAGGAGAACAAGGACATCACCCTGGAGTGGAGAAAGAAAAGAAAAGCTTCCCTCAGATCCATTTCTACCATCTGCTACCTGTCTAAACCTGTTACCAAAACCTACCTGTTTCATCTACTTGAAGGCATTGAACTCCCAAAGTCTCAGGATCCAAAGTTTGCAGGACGAGTCCAGTGGGACAAAGACGTCCTCACAGAAGGACGCCTCACACTTCATGTCTCCAGACTCAGGACCAGTGACTCTGGGTTTTATCGGTGTGACATACGCGTCATACCTGGTGGGAATAACTCTAGGGGATGCTGGCTCAACGTCATTGGTGAGTAACCAGTAGAAGTGTTGTATTAACAGTCAAACTGCACTTCTTTAAAGGTCTCCTATCATGCAAAATGCACTTTTTGATGTCTTTTATACATAAATATGTGTCCCCGGTGTGTCAGGAGACTCACAAAGCGTCAGAGAATAAAACCCTCTCTCTTTGCTAACACTCAGAGCTAACCTGTACTGGAGAGAGTATGTGTAAAGAAGCAGGATATAAAAAGGAACTCACCTTGTGGTAAACCTGAGAGAGAAAAAGAGCTCCATACTGTTTCAGAGATAATCCTTGATGTGGTTTGGAACATGATATGGAGTTTAATCACGGCAGCGTTTAGCTGAGAATCTGCCGGTAGAATTCTCCTGCATGAGCTCTCGTTTTCTTTTTTTCTTAAAGCTACAGACCCAGAATCAGCACTTTAGTAACAGGGCTGAAATAGAGGGGTTTGGGGGATGGGTGATCTGTTTGGGAGTTTGAGCAAATCACTTCATAGACATGTTTCTTATATATCTGAGACCTATAGGAGACCTTTAATATGCAGACTTTAGCTCTAGTCTGATGGTAAACAAAGATGCAAAGCCATTGCAACCTCTGATGCAGAATGGGATAATATTTAGTCTTTATTTTTCACTGAAAAGAGGTCTTCTCCCTGTCAACATTACTTTACTAACTTTATTTTCCACAGCTGCTGCTGAGCTCCAAACTCAGAGACCAACAGAGAGACACAGATACATCTTGATCTACGTTGTACTGGCAGTTACAGTAACTCTACTGTCTCTCTCTGCCGCTGTCTGCAAACCGCGGCTCACCAAATATCTTTGTAGGAAAATAAACAACAGTGAAGTGGAACTGAGGATGAGTTCCTCAGATATTGAAGCCCCAGGGACCATTGAAAATGAGTCTGAAACACCCTTTTTGAATGAACCATCGGAGCACAATAAAACAAGACAGAGGGTCTCATCAGGTAGTGAATTATTTAGCCAGTAGATGTCACTGTTCTACACGTAAATACATATTTATCCCAGATTTATCCTTAGTATTTATCGTCTTCGGTGCTAAGGTGTGTGTTGGAAGGAATTCTCTGGATGACGTCCATCAAGCAGTGAAAGAGGAATGAGGAAATACCTGTTTGGCTATAAAGGGAACTAAAATGTACTGCGTTGCTAAAAAATAGACAACTATGATGATTCACTTCTAAAAGTTGTGACAACCAGCCGATAGAAACATAAACAAACGCCTCCTGCGGAGATTTGTGTCATAAAGTTTGTTAATTCTCAGTTTCTCTGACGCTGTGTTCCTGTGTTATCCTTGATGCATTTCGCTGCTGTTGATGTTTCTGTTTATTTTGCATTTCTTCAGTCATTTTTTGTAGTTTTATCTGGTCTCCTCTGGGTACGCTTTTGGCCCTTTTTGGTCATTTTGTTGCTCTCTTTTTTGTTACTATGTCCCTTTTTTATGATGTGTGAATCTTGTAATTGCTTATCGACTTTTCTCGGTACTTTTGCTTCTCTTTTAGGTTATTTTGTAACTTATGTCGCACCTTTTGTGGGTATTTCAGAAGGGGCAGGTCAAATAAGATTTTCTTCTCCCTGCTCCTTTCCACCATTAACCTGTTCCACTCTGAGCCTGTTTTTCAGGTCTCAGGCTCGAAAATGACATTCCCAGAACAAATGACCATATCTTCCCTTCTAAAAGGGTTAAATTAATAATCTTTTCTCAAAGTAATGATAAACCTGTGAGTTGGATGTAGAAGTGTCAGAATCAATATAAATGTTTTTTATTTTAAAGAAAATTCAGATTTTACATAGTAAAAAACTGTAAATTATAGTGTCCGTCCAAAAATTATTTTTTACAGATAGTGAAAACTACCCTTGGATGATGGGTTAGTAGACTAAAAGCTTTAGGAATCCAAAGTACAACATATAATAAGTACCCTGTATCAAGATTGATGCAAAACAAGTGAAATTTGATCTTTTTAGAGAGATTTAGCCAAAAACTGGGCCATCTGGGGTCATTTGGGTGGATTTGACCTATCTCTGGCCCCCCTTGCTCGATCTGGTTGGTTGACATACCCTTGTGACCGTTAGAGCCAATAGAATCGAAGGAGGAGACTCACATACACATACATTATAAAGAAAAAATGTTGCCGCTTCGCGTGTGGAAAGCGAAACTAAACTGGAGGAATGTCTCCTTCTGGAGTTTGGAAACTAAAACGCAGTTGTATTGCTTATGGATTATCAGAAATAATTTCAAAGAAGGCACAGACACATAGGATGAACCTATGGATTAACTGCAGCATCGTTTTTTTATCGTTTTAATGCCATTGAAGACCACTTTTGACCAAGGTGAGCCATATTTACATGTTTAGCTTCTTGGCTCCACATGTGATGATGTACGCTTTCGTTGATAGCGTCGCGAATGTTTATCACTGAGTGTTGAGGTGGGCACCGTTAGATTCAGTGTCTCCAGGACACCAAAAAATAGTGTTTGGTTGTGCATCTAGGATAAGTAATAAGGGAGTTCTGAGTGAGTTTATGTGCCTTTGTCGGTCCCGTTTTTTCGATCGAGGCTAATTCAGAGGCTGAGTGCTAGCATTGTGGGGTTTTTTTGAAAAAAAAAATTAAAAAGATCAGTTAGCTGAGTTTCTTCCCGTTACATGCATATAACACATTCATAGTTTTATTCAATATTAAGATTCCTTAGACGTTGTTTCCTGCAAATGACGCGTTTATCCGCCCGGTACCGGGGGGAAGGCGTGAAACAGGTTAAAAAAAAAAAAAAAAAAAAAAAGTATAAGTGTACATGTTTTGTTTTAAAAATAACTGCCATGTGTGGAATAAACAAATAAATAAATACATTCAAAAAAAATGTCAGGTTGTTTTACGTCGCTTTTTTGTTGTTTTACATTTATTTCATCGTTTTTAATCTCTCTAGTTTCAAATGAATACAACATTCTAAAGAATAACATGTTAGAATGATCCCAGGATGTAAGAAGACAAAGACAACACATCGACTTAAAATATTTTCTTTTACAACATGTCTTTCCAATAATTATCTTCAAACGGCCTCAGCTGTAGTTCCTGTCAGGTTCTCACTGTGGAGTAGGTGGATGCCGTGTCAGCATCTAAACAGGAAACACATAAAGACTATTGAACAGCTGTCATTAGGTGGACACAATAATAGAAACACTACTTCCCTGCACCTCGAGGCCTTTCAGAAGAATTTTAAGTTTACATTTATTTTATATAATAATAAACAGTTTGAAACTTAATTTTTATTATATTTACACGTATGTTTCCACGTTGTATTTACATGTTTGTATCATGTCTCAACTCTAATCCATACAAAAACAGAAAGGTAACCTTGGTTATTGTAGATCAGGGGTCGGCAACCCCTGGCACGTGTGCCACCAATGGCACGCGGCACCGTAACCAGTGGCACACTAGGAATAAGTGGAATAAGTGTACAAAATAATTATTTTATTTTTGGATCCTGAACGAGACCGCCGCCAGAGCGCGTCTCCCCGTTACCTGCAGAAGGAAGCCATGCACGCAACGCAGCCCCACTCTCTTTAACTCCAGGCGACTTTCTGCCGCTTTCCTCCGTGGTGCAGGGCTGATCGTTTCACCACAGAGGAAAGCACTTCACAAATTGCATTACCCATAAGGAGCTGTAAAAATGCCGCAGTTTTTGCGTGGCGATCGATATCGGCCGATACTCACTCTCTGCCGATCGATCGGTGCTCTCTAAAAAGGCCGATCGCGAGACGTAACATACATGACACTTTTCTCTGTGTGCGGCAAAACAAGCTCGCCAAAATCGCTTCACCAGTCTGGCAGTATTTTAAGGTGTCCGAAAATGACAATAAAATAGCGGTGCAACGTGTGTGAAGCAGAAATCCTGCAGCTCCACCCGCTGTGACGGACCGGTGAGCGGAGCAAAACACACAAGAGTTAGACCTAACACACTTAGCTATTTTATCTACCTTTGGAACTAGTTATAAATACATTTATTCTTCACTGTCACTCATTACTGGATCAGTGAGCTGCATGAGATACTGACAGGCTGTCAGGAGAGAGAGAGAGGGGGAGAGAGGAAAAGAGAGCGCTTCCGCTCATTTCTCCCGTGTTATTATCCAAAGTTAATGTAAACTTGAATAATGTACTTCATTTGAATGTAACAATTATGTTGGTTGTTTGTGGAAGCGCCAGTGAATGAGCCCCATTAACTGAGTTTTTAACATCACTTTTCACGAGTGTTTTCGTCGAGCTCTTCAACCCCCCCCCCCCCCCCCCCCCCCTTTCATAATTCACGATCGTCGGCACGCTGATACAATTTTTTTTTTAGAATGGCACTTCATATCAAAAAGGTTGCCGACCCCTGTTGTAGATCATTGAGTTTCTGATAGTAACGGACCGTCCACACAGCAGCGTTAAAAAAATCTTGGAGGTGGGCGTATCTGAAGCTTGGGGATTTTTTGCGAGCAAGGCACCAACAACCAATCACATGAATCTCCCGCCCCCGACATACGAAGCAAAAAAGTTTGAAGTAAACTGGATATAAACTCCCCAAACAGGCGAAAACATACCACTGTCTCTGCCACCTCCCTCCATGCCTGGCTCCTCCGGTTTGTATCCCGGTAGGTAAATAGGGACTGGTCATAAAGCACCGGGTGATTCCCTACCGCTAATTTCTCCTCCATTTTTTGTAATATGAGGAAATGACCTGCGGTATGTCTCTCCCAGCATACACGCGGTTTGATTGGCTCGAGCTTGAACTGTCAGATTTGCGTACACAGGATTTGATTGGCTGACGCTTCCACCTCAGCCTCAAAAGTTGAACATTGTTCAACTTTGAATCCTGAAAATCCTGAAGATCTCCGCTCGCCTGCCCACAATGCAGTTCGGCGAAAAGTGAGGGAAAGTGACGTCACCCCATTCAAAGTGAATGGGCAGAAGCGTTTCAAGATTTTTTAACGCTGCTGTGTGGACGGTCCGTAACGGTGAAACTTTGGTTTCCAGCCAATTGTTTTGCATTACTGTTACCATAGTGATATCCAAGTGTGACCCAATAGGAGCGTAGGAAACTGTGAGGGGGCGGGGCTTCCTCTTAAAGCGACAGACAACCGAAACAGAGAGCAGTTTCTCAATGTTACGTAACAGTTTTTATCACGTGATGTTATGCTCTGTATCATGATGTAATTATTATGTCAATAGTGTAGGAACAGTCTAGATCATTTACTTCAGTAATAGTACTAATACTTACGCTGGAAAATACACTTAATGGCACTTAATTTTGAGTATTTAACAAGTGTCCTAAATGAAATAAGAGTACAAACTATATATTATTTTTTATTAATAAAGAAAATGTAAAGAAAAAGCAGCAAATCTTCAAATTTGAGAGTTTTCTAATATTTTATCCCAGAAATAACAAAAAAATGATATTCTTTATCGTTGTTTCAGGTGTGCTCGGGTTTCATGTTAAACATACGTTACCACTTTATCTGTATCTGTAAGATAGGTAGATGTACGATTTAAAATAAATATAGGGAAGTTAAAAGTAGAATACCTCTGATCCTGATTGGCAGCCCTTCCTGTGTGACGGTAACATTGGTGTAATCAACGTCTGCTTCATCTTCACCTGTAACACAAACAAGCTGAATTTAACTTTTTACTTGCAGTGACATCACTATGTAACACTCGCGCTTCTATTGTCTAGCGCTCCAACACATTATACGTGAACATCAGCAGGAGAGGACTCTTTAAAGTAGAGACACTACATACTGATATACACCTGAACATCAGCAGGAGAGGACTCTTTAAAGTAGAGACACTACATACTGATAAACACCTGCACATCAGCAGGAGAGGACTCTTTAAAGTAGAGACACTAAATACTGATATACACCTGAACATCAGCAGGAGAGGACTCTTTAAAGTAGAGACACTACATACTGATATACACCTGAACATCAGCAGGAGAGGACTCTTTAAAGTAGAGACACTACATACTGATATACACCTGAACATCAGCAGGAGAGGACTCTTTAAAGTAGAGACACTAAATACTGATATACACCTGAACATCAGCAGGAGAGGACTCTTTAAAGTAGAGACACTACATACTGATATACACCTGAACATCAGCAGGAGAGGACTCTTTAAAGTAGAGACACTACATACTGATATACACCTGAACATCAGCAGGAGAGGACTCTTTAAAGTAGAGACACTAAATACTGATATACACCTGAACATCAGCAGGAGAGGACTCTTTAAAGTAGAGACACTACATACTGATATACACCTGAACATCAGCAGGAGAGGACTCTTTAAAGTAGAGACACTTAACACTTTTTTTTTAATGTATTTACTTCATAACCACTTTAAGGAGTTTCCCCGCAGTAAAGTGTTTGTGCAACCTCCTCATATCAAAGTATAGCTGAAACGGAAGAATGCATAATGTTATTTTCTGGAGATGCAGGCTGACCTTTGTGGTTCCTCCAGAGGCCGAGCAGCATCAGAGAGCCCAGCGCGAGGCACACGCCAAACACAGGAAGTAAAACCAGAACAAGGGAGGGGGGGGCAGGCGACTCCTGATGCACTGCTGCTAAACAGAAATACCACAGGTTGGCCTCATGCAGAAACTGAAAGTATACATCATGTCCGAGTGCTTTACAATAAATGTTTAGCAAGATAACAGAAGAATTACTCGCCCGATTTCCCTGAAATTTGGTGTAACGGTGTATCATAGGCCAAGGACAAACACATTATAATTTGGAGTGGATTGAAATGAGGGGATCAGAGATAGTAGAATATGTTTTCTGGACCTTTAAGGCTGATCTCACCTCTGACAGCCAGCCAACTGTCTGGTGATTGTCCACCATCAGAGATGTTACACTTGTAGAGTCCTTCATCAGATTTAGAAACCCTGTGGATGGTGATGTTTCCTGAAGAGCTGCTACTGATGAGGCGGCCATCTTTATAAAAGTCAGCTGACAGGGTGGAGGTCTGGTTTCTGCAGATCAGGGTCACAGATTCTCCCTCCATCACAGGAACAGAAGGACTCTCCAGGATCACAGAGCCACCTGAAGACAGAAACATGTGAAGTAACCAAACAAGAAAAACTAGAAGTTCAGTGTCGTATCCAAAGATTGTTTAATGTATTTAGCCACTGTGGCATCACCTGTTGGTTTGTGGATTCTGGTTTTAAAGCATCCAGATTGGCGGTTTGGGCATTTCCAAGTTTTCAAGTGTTTTTTGACCATCATAATCTTTGTTTTTAACTGCTTTTGGCTGTTGCCTTCTTTGTCTTTGGCCATCCCCATTTTTGGTTTTTGGCCATCCCCATTGGGTGTCCACACCTTGGATTTCAATGATTTTTGGCCTTCTCGTTTTTGTGGTTGCGTTTGGTCGTCAACATCATGGTTTCGGCCATCATCGTTTTTGACGTTTTTGGACATCATAATCTTTGTTTTTGGAGCCTTTTGGCTATCGCCGAATGTTGCTGTTGCTATCCTAGTTTTTGGCCTTCGCCATTTGGGCGTCCCTATATTGGTTTCAATGGGTTTTGGCCGTCTCTGTCTTTGGCCATAAGCATCATGGTTTTTAGCCGTTGCCATCTTTGTTTTTGGCAATTTTTGGACGTTGCCTACTTGGTTTGTCGACAGTTTTTGGTCTCACTTAGTCTTTAGCCATTGCCATCTTGTTATTTCGGAACCAGAAGGTACACTAGAGAGCGAAAACAGAACTACAACTGAACGCTGAAGACAAATCTTACAATTAACTTTTATGAATTGAACATTTTAAAATGTTAAGACAAAAACATGTTCAACACTGTGTAAGCAACTTGTCTACCACCTTAAAGCAAACCCTGCTATAACAAGAAGTTGCATGTAAGAAAACCACAGAAACAGGTTGTTAGCAGCACTTGAACAACCTGGTCTCACCAGAATGCGTGACTCCACCACGACTCCTTAACACCGCAGTGCGTGGTGGAGTCACGAACTTTGCTACATTTACGTGTCTGCACCACGCAAACAACCCCAATGTAAAGTGAATGAGGCTCCTTTGTCGTGGTGACAACACGCATTTCTACAATGTCCAGCAGTGAGCTTTTATTCTATAAAACGTTTTTAAAATCTACTTTATAGCTTGTAGTAACTCACGGGAGGCTTCTTTTATTTTATTTGTATTCATAATAATTTTTATTTTTCGTCAGAATGTATTATGGTGCATTATTTACCAATGTTTGTTCTCAAAAAACAGTGCATTGTGTGTAATACAACTGTGATTTTTATTCAATTAGTTCGTTTTTAAGGAAGGCCAGAGCTTCAGCTGTGTCAAATAGATTGTTCCCTTTAGTTAACGTTATTTAAAAGATAATTATATTCCTATTTGATCAAGTCCCCTTTATTGTATTACGGACCCAAAGAGCTGAGCGTCCATTCCCATTGGATAACGGAGGATTTTACACCCGGAAGTAAGTATTCTCCTTACTGTCGATTGATTTTATTTACAGTGATATCTGCAGTACTCATCGACTCAAAAACACCAGATTATCCTTGTTAATTACACAACATTGATTGGTTTAAATTGTGTATAATGCTTTTGTAATTTTCCCCTTCGATTCGGAGAAACAAATATGTGTTCAGAGTTTAGGATGGCCGAAGACACTACACTACACAGAATCCTCAGCTATTGTTCCGCTTTGCCTCAAGCTCTGTGATTGGTTGACCTCCAACTGCATTCCATATGAAAAAAACGTTTCGTAAAAGATCAAATCATACTTTATTCAGCAGTGCTTGCTTTACTCTTTGAAAGTCATCACATGAATGCATTGTAATGAATGGTTTGGCTGCATTAAATATTACACATCTGTCGTAGTTCTTTATTTATCTACAGAGATCGGGCCTCAGAATAGACCGGAAACTATTCTTTTACCGTTCTATTTTAATTTCACAATAAAGTTAGTAGTAATAATTTGTTTTGATATTATTGTTTTTTATTAACTACTAGACCGCTGGGTCATGTTAAGACCATCTTTTCTGTGTTGCTGTGGGTTTTTTACATCACTTTTGTGTTACAAATATCAAAACAATAACAGAATATATCCGTCGTAAACTAAACCAGAAACAGCAGTATATTTTATTTTGTTAACACTATAAACTTGACAGCTTTTTAACCCGCACCTCCTACTGGTTAAAGCACGTTATTACACGTTTAGAGTACTTGCAATGCAGGTAGATTGTGTTGCTTTTTAATGACTGTTTTAAAATGCCTTTTTCTTAATGTCTTTCATTTTGTAAAGCACTTTTGAATGTGTTATATTTGATGAAAACATTTAAATATTAAGAGTACATACTCTTAATATAGTGGGAAAGTGGAAGGTCAATGATATAAATAATATAGAATAGAAAATATCAAGAAGATACTGTAAGTGATCTCTACAATAAAACAGTTTAGTGCCTGATAGGAGGATGTGCAAAACAGACAAACTAATAAGACTTTATTTAAACATTAAAGAATACTTTAGGTTAAGGTCTTCTTTTGAATAAGAAAAAAGCTTTGGGGGTATCTACAGATATTAAGCCTGACAAAGTACTTAACGTCTAATATATTGCATGGTTTGTTTTGGAACTTGACAATCAACTTTCCTGCAATGTTAACTATGTTGAAGCACTTATTTTAACTGATATTATACATATTAATTATACTCTTATAAGATGTATGTAGATAGTATAAGAAATATGCAGAATATGTTTAATGGTGGAGGTACACAGATATCGATAGATGTATTGTAATGCACTGTTGAGGAACCTGTGACCCAAGTTTTTCATTCATTGCATAACTACACCGTAGTTGTGTATATGATATGTCAATAAACCTTAGAAAATCTTGAAATCTTGAAAGGGATGTGCAAAATAGCCATTATATACAGTTTTTAATTAACTATTAGCAGAGAATAACTAGTAATGAATATGCTTTATAGGGATCTGCAGATAAATATTTAGTCTTCTCAAGCACCCACTACCAAATATCTCGCCTGATTGTTGGCTGAATTCACTGAATTTTACTCAGGTGTAACTAAAGTCTGATTTAAGGGTTGTTTATATTTCACAACATTAATCCAAATCTGTAAAGTAAGTAACTAAAATAAATGTAGTGGAGTAAAAATACCAGGTTCACCTTAAAGAAAGCCCTCAGGATTATAAAAGACCCCCAACACCCCAGCCACAAACTGTTCTGTCTGCTGCCGTCTGGCAAACGGTACTGCAGCATCCGGACTAAAACCACCAGACTCAGGGACAGTTTCATCCCACAGGCCATAAGACTATTAAACACCTGAACTTAGAAACAACATCCATAACATTCATCTGGCTGCTACTTAGAAATTATTTATCTAATATATCATATTCCAATCACTTGTACACTTGTATATAGACTCGTATTGCACTATTTCACTTGTTACTATTTTCTATTTTCTTTTTGTATTTACTTGCACTATTTGTTCTGTGTAGCCTATCTGTTTTATTGTGTTGCACTGTTGGAGGAGCCTGTGAGGGGGGGGGGGGGGGGGGGGGGGGGGGGGGGTAGGACACGTTCTAAGCACATGGTGTAGTCCCATAGCTGAGGATTCTGGGTAGTGTAGTGTCTTCTGCCATCCACACACTCTGATAAAATATTTGTTTCTCCGAATCGAAAGGGGAAAATACAAAAGCATTGTACACAATTTAAACCAATCAATGTTGTGTAATTAACAAGGATAATCTGGTGTTTTGGAGTTGATAAGTAGTGCAGATATCACTGTAAATAAAATCAATCGACAGTAAGGAGAATACTTACTTCCGGGTGTAAAATCCTCCGTTATCCAATGGGAATGGACGCTCAGCTCTTTGGGTCCGTAATACAATAAAGGGGACTTGATCAAATAGGAATATAATTATCTTTTAAATAACGTTAACTAAAGGGAACAATCTATTTGACACAGCTGAAGCTCTGGCCTTCCTTAAAAACGAACTAATTGAATAAATATCACAGTTGTATTACACACAATGCACTGTTTTTTGAGAACAAACATTGGTAAATAATGCACCATAATACATTCTGACGAAAAATAAAAATTATTATGAATACAAATAAAATAAAAGAAGCCTCCTGTGAGTTACTACAAGCTATAAAGTAGATTTTAAAAACGTTTTATAGAATAAAAGCTCACTGCTGGACGTTGTAGAAATGCGTGGGTGCACCACGACAAAGGAGCCTCATTCACTTTACATTGGGGTTGTTTGCGTTGTGCAGACACGTAAATGTAGCAAAGTTCGTGACTCCACCACGCAATGCGGTGTTAAGGAGTCGTGGTGGAGTCACGCATTCTGGTGAGACCAGGTTGAACTTGAACGTACCACCAATGCTGATGAATTAGCATGTTCAAACTGTTGTTGTTGAAACCCACCGGTCACAGTGATGTTGACGCTGTTGCTGCACCTTCCTGGCTCAGACTCACACCAGTAAACCCCAGAGTCAGAGGTGTAAAGGTCATCAATAACAAAGTGGTTGGGATTTTTTTCGGGGGAATTTGGACAATCTTCATTTGTGTTTTTGGATGTGTTCCTCTTCACTTTCCACTCAGAAGAGTTTCCCTCACAGCTAAAAGAGACAGACTCGTATCTAAAGAACTGGGATTTGTTGGGCAGGACTCTCAGAGTGGCTGCAAGGAAAGAAAAAAGAGATTTTAAAATTGTAATTGCACCTCACCAGAAAACAGTTTTGCAGAAAAACTAAATTTAGACGTTCAATAACCCTCCTCACAAGGTCTTTCTTTTTGTTTCACAACGGATCTTATTCGAGCAATAAGTGAGGCGTCAATGTGATCAGAAACAAACCTCTTAGCTGCGTTCACTGTCAGGTAATATTGTCACGGTAATTTTGTTTAGTATATTCTCTATTTATTACAACACAATTCCCTCTCGGTCTGTCTGAAATCAGCCAGATCTGCAGCTTCAGATCACATTGCATTTAGCTGCTTTCATATGTTGGCCTGAAACCACAACAAGATAATCGTTTTGAAGACAAAGCTGCATCTTGCACATCTCTGCTTTTAAGGTGATGCAAACATAGGAAACCACATGAGGAAAGTGTGAAAAGTAGTTTATCAAAGCTACAGTTAAATACAATCAGGTAGAGCTGCGTAAAGATGAGGATGATTCACCTTTATTGGATAAAATCATTAGAATTGGGAGGGATGAAACCCTCTTTAATGGTCACACATGCAGAGCACACAGCACACAGTGAAATGTGTTCTCTGCTTTTAACCCTTCCTAGTACCAGGAGTCTAGTAGTGATGGGAATTCCGGCTCTTCTTGGTGAGCCGGATCATTTGGCTCGGCTCACCAAGAAGAGCCGGCTCTTTCGGCTCCCAAACGGCTCTTCAGTTTACCACATATTATACCTTTTATAATTCAATCAAATGTAGCCCTGTTTTGACTAATGATTTATATGTGTACACATATCACTTAAATTATTCAATACATCCTTTGTACTGAAGTATTCAAAAGTAAAAATTACATGTTTAATATCAATTATTTGCTGTGGCCAATTGTTTTCATTGCATTTACAGACCCTTGTATCTCTCTGATACCACCCAATGAATGCACAGACTTGCTTGTTGAACCACGCTACACAAAGCAGATAGCAACACCTATAACAAAACCCGAGGTGACAGGGCTTTCAGTGTTGCATCTCCTAGACTGTGGAACAGCCTCCCAGTACATATCCGGACTGCTGAGTCTATTGAACTTTTTAAATCTCAGCTAAAAACTCACCTCTTTGCACTGGCTTTTAATACTAGTTGAACATTACATTTTTACATTTGTATGTGTTTTTAAAAAAATATTTTTCTAGTTATTGTGCTTTTTATCATGTTTTTAATTATTGTTTTATTATTGTACTCCCATTGTGTTATTTAATATTTATTGCCTGTACAGCACTTTGGTCAACTGAAGGTTGTTTTAAATGTGCTATATAAATAAATAAAGATTGAGATTGAGATAAAAACTTAAGCATAGACATTTAATAAAAGGGGCTACTGTATCGACATTTTAAAATTATATTTAAAGAAAAGGCCCTGACAAAACAGCAGGGCTCTATTTCAGTATTAACTATAGAAAAAAAGACAGCAACAGCTGACATCAAATCTTTGCTGAGCCCAAGGATAATCATAAATAAATAACATAGTGAAAATAAATATATTGCAATGCTCAAAACAGCAGCATCCAACCGTCTCTAATCATAAAAAAACATAATAAAAATAAATGTATTGCAATGCTCAAAACAGCAGCATCCAACAGTCTCTAATCCTTGGATATTACATGTCACTGCATGCATGCACGGAGCAGCTGTAGCGCGGAGATCATCATATCATTCTGTCTTGTATTACTTAACAACAACAAAATAACAAAAAAAAAAACGGCTCGTTCGCGGGCGCGAGCCGGCTCCCGTCGTTCACTTAAAAGAGCCGGCTCTTTGAGCCGGCTCGTTCGCGACCGACACATCACTAGAGTCTAGTACTAGGAGCAGTTGATTGCTGATATATCATTTTGAGTATTATTCGTTAAAGATTATTCCCTCGTTTAGTTTCCGCTGTGAAGATGCAACAGAAAGTTTCATGAAGCAAGGATAACTTTTAAATAAGAGAAAGTAAATAACAACACTTATAGTAGATGTTATTCAAGATTCAAATATGCTTTCTTAAGACAAAGAAATAAAGAAATACAATTGTGCAAGCGACTTTACGCTGCTTGTAAAATGCATGAATTGGGAAAAATGTACATATTACTCTTATAATTTTTAAGTTATTTGTAGTATGATATAGTATTTTGTCTATTTATTGTAAATAATGTATTGAATTGTTTGAATTGTATACAAGTAGATGTTTAAAAAAGTTCTATATTTGGTCCTTTTTTAAATCTTCATTCCAAAGCAGATTCCTTGACACTCAGTCTGCAATAAATCTGATTCTGATGATACGTAGAACACGATAAATAGAATAAATACTGTAACGATATATAGTCTACTCACCGAGCACCGTGCACAGTGTGGTGAGCTCCATGCTGACTGGCTGACTCTCATCATACAGTTTTATTGAGAGGCAGCAGCTTCCTGCTTCTGTCTCTCACCTCGCATGTGTGAAATCGGTCACCACAGCCTCCATTTTATCTGTAGTTGTGTTACATAAAAAAAAATAAGAATTATAGAGATGTTTATCTTTGCGAGAGGATAATCTGATTTTCAGCATTTGCATCTTTATTATAAAAGATCTCTCTTTTTATTGTAATATTCATTTTTTTTCTCATTTTTACTGTTAAATAAAAGGTATATTCTATATTTCTTTAACTTTTTTTTTGTTAATATATATATATTTTTGTATTCATCAATTATGATAATGTTTTTGTGGTAGGATTTAAGATATTGATCGTAATGTACCTTTTTTTTTTTAATCATGTTTATTGTTGCACCGCGGTGAAGTTAGTTTTAGGTTGGATATTCGACGGACATTCGCGGACCAGCCAGCGTCAGTTTCCCCTGCTGCTGGCTGTATTACGACGGGGAGATCTTCTGCGCGAAACGAGGCTTTCACTTAGGGACCATCAACAAATGACTTTTCAATTACACAAGAAAAATGTTCTTTTTAAATCAACAGCTTCCCGATCGAGTGAATGTGAAGCAAATCCACTCTAGAGCATACATTTGTTGAACACACTTCTTGTTATTGCATTTTAATACTTTAAATACGTTTTATTAATATTTTGATGGAAACATTTGCATATTTCTTCAATAACTTCTAGATCATGTGACCTAATGACTCAAAATCAGTGCTGGCTCAAATAACTACACTGGCTGCATAGGACACACCTCTTTTTATTGCATTTTAAACTCTAAATATTTTATATCAATATTTTTGATGGAAAAATTAGCTTATTTCTTCAATACCTTCCAGGTCATGTGACCTAATCACTCAAAATCAATGCTGGCTCAAAGAACTACACTTGCTTCATAGGACACACCTCTTTTTATTGCATTTTAATACTTTAAATATTTTATATTAATATTTTGATGGAAAAATAAGCATATTGCTTCAATACCTTCCAGGTCATGTGACCTAATCACTCAAAAATCAATGCTGGCTCAAAGAACTACACTTGCTGCTTAGGACACACCTCTTTACATTGCAAATTAGCTTATTAGCTTAGCTTAGCTTATTTCTTCAATATCTAATGACTCAAAATCACTTTCTGAATTGAATACTGGTCTGTACACAATAGAAACAGCTCTTTATATCGGATAATATTACATCCTCTATTTAATATTAATATTTCTATGAAACATTCAGGGTTTTTTCTTAGGTCACATGACCTGGAAGGTATTGAAGAAATAAGCTAATTTTTCCATCAAAAATATTGATATAAAATATTTAAAGTATTAAAATGCAATACAAAGAGGTGTGTTCTATGCAGCCAGTGTAGTTCTTTGACCCAGCACTGATTTTGAGTGATTAGGTCACATGACCTGGAAGGTATTGAAGCAATATGCTCATTTTTCTATCAAAATATTAATATAAAGATATTTAAAGTATTAAAATGCAATAAAAAGAGTTGTGTCCTATGCAGCAAGTGTAGTTATTTGATCCAGCACTGATTTTGAGTCATTATGTCACACTACCTAGCAGTTATTGAAGAAATATGCAAATGTTTCCATCAAAAATATGAATAAAACGTATTTAAAGTATTAAAATGCAATAAAAAGAGGTGTGTTCAATAAATGTATGCTCTAGAGTGAATTTGCTTCACATTCACACGATCGAGAAGCTGTCGATTTATTTAAAAGAACATTTTTCTTGTGTAATTGTAAAAGTCATTTGTTGATGGTCCCTAAGTGAAAGCCTCGTTTCGCGGAGAAGATCTCCCCGTTAAACTGACGCTGCTGGCGGGTCCGGGAAACTGACGCTGCTGGCGGGTCCGCGAATGTCCGTCGAATATCCAACCTAAAACTAACTTCACCGCGGTTATTGTTGCAGTATAACGCAGAGATGGAGTCCTGGACTCGGACTCGAGTGCCGATTTTCGGGACTCGTGACTCGACTCGGACTCGCACACTGATTGACGCGACTCGGACTTGGACTCGTGAATTCGCGCACACGATGACTTGGACTCGGACTCGGACTCGTGAATTATCGCGTACGCTGACTTGGACTCGGACTCGGACTCGTGAATTTTTCCCCCCACGATGACTCGGACTCGACTTGTACATTGACGCTCCGACTTGGACTCGGACTCGAGCAAGTTTTCTATGGAGTCTGATGTCCTCTATCCTGGCGTGTGCACCGGCTGCGAGGTGAGTTCACGTACTGGGCCCCGCTATTCCAGTCTAAAGATGTCTAGAGACACACCCCGCATCGTGCTGTATGCTTTCACACATTCTGCTTCCACATTGGAAAAGAGCAGCGCAAAATGCTCTATGTGGAAACAATATTGAAGAGAAGGCTCCGTAACGGCCCGTCCACACAGCAGCGTTAAAAATATCTTGGAGGTGGGCGTATCTGAAGCTTGGGGATTTTTTGCGAGCAAGGCACCAACAACCAATCACATGAATCTCCCGCCCACCGACATACGAAGCAAAAAAGCCCGAAGTAAACTGGATATAAACTCCCCA